CACAAAAGAAAGGGTTCTTACGAAAACAAGACAAATTTAAACATTCTTAATGAGATTCGACAAACAAAATGAAGGGAAGGAGAGGGTAGCGAAGAAGACGGTGATGATGAAATAGAGCAAAAGAGTAAGGAGAATATAGAAAATCAAGCAAAAAAGCTGGAGCAAAGAAGTGAGGAGAGTATAGAAAATCAGGCAAAGAAAGCTGGTTTTGCTGAGGAACTTTTGTAGTAAATTTGGAGACGGAAAATAAATTGGTAAAACACTCAACCTATTTCTTAACGAGTCTTGCTAGGCTACCAGGCCGTCCCTGACAGCCTCTCACAATAGGTGTGAAGATTTTTTTGTCATTTTTAATTTATATGGGTCCCACATGTGAGGAGAGGAAATGGTGATAGATGGCCGGTTGACTCGACTATTTTTCCACAATGGTCTTTGACCAAATTTATAATTAAGAGTCGGCTCGCTTCATTACGTTACAAGTCGACAAGTCGAGCTAGTAGGGTTTGCGAGCCGCCACATTGGGTCGTCTTGTAAGGCTTGTCCCTTTTCTTTATTTTCATATTTGATCACGTTAGTTTTTTCAATATAATATTTACTATGCCCCTGTTTGACACCCTTTTTTTTCTCATTCTCATTCTCATTTTTTTCTCTTACTTCATTTCAACCACACATTCTCCCAATAAAATAATATTACAAACAAATTTAAAACTTTTCATAACTTTTCCACCATACATTCTCCCATCAATCACTATTCTAAAAATTTTTATCTTCAAAAAATGGGTGTCAAACGCACCCTATATATATATATATGATATAAGATGTCATTAATAATTCTCCACGATGGTTATTGAGGTAAGAGCTACTTGATATGCTCCCCACGTAGAGCACCATATGATATGTCACCTACTACTATAAAGAAGTCAACTCCCATGGGGCCGTCTACCACCATGAGATCCTCTACGTTCACATAGACTGTATACCACTATGAGGTCGTCGACCCCCATGAGACCCTCTACGTTCACATAGGTCGTCTACCGCTCTGAAGTCATCGACCACCATGGGGCCCAATACGTTCACATAGGCCGTCTATCACTATGAGGCCGTCAACCCCTATGAGGCCCTCTACGTTCACATAGGTCGCCTACTCCTATGAGGCCAATGCTACACTTAACTATACAAATGGCGATGAGTTGGACGAAAACCACCCAACAGCGAACGTGGGTACAACCAACCACTTGAAGAGTGGGGACCACTCTACCAGAATTCGGGGAAAGTGGGAAAGTTTACGTGGGACACGTGGTATCAGCAACCGCCGAACGTGTAGCAACAGGTGCCTATAAGTACCTCCAAGATGAGAAAGGTAGTTTCTTCTTGAAACCTGAACTATTTGAATTCCCATATTCACAATGCTTACTTCCTAAAAACTAACTACTGATTCTCACGCTAAAGGTGCAATGGGGGAAAACGTTGTGACCTCATTTTGCAGATAGCGTACATTGATCGGAGTGCTCGGAACATCGCACCCGTTAAGGTGAGTACGAATGATAATCTCACAACTATTTCAGTGTTAATTTCAGATTACATTATCAAA